GTGATGCAGGAAGGGAGGAAGAGGGTTAGGATGGTGTTGGGCAGGGAGGGAGGAAGAAGGTTAGGATGTTTGTGGACAGGGAGGGTGGAAGGGAATTTAGGATGGTATTGGTACAGGAGGGAGGAAGAGGGTTGTAGGATGGTGGTGGGCAGGGAAGGGTGGAGAAAGTTAGGGATGCGTGTTGGGCAGGCGAGGGTGTGAAGGGGAGTTTAGGATCGGTGGTGGGCAGGGCAGGGAGGGAGAGGGTTTAGTGATGGCTGTTGGGCAGGGAGGGAGGAAGAGGGGGTTAGGATGGTGTTGGCAGGGAGGGAGGAAGAGGGTTTAGGATGGTGGTGTGACAGGGGAGGGAGGAAGAGGGTTTAGGATGGGTGGTGGACCAGGGAAGGTGGAAGAAAAAGTTTAGGATCGGTATTTGGGCAGGGGAGGGTGGAAGGAAGTTTAGGATGGTGGGTCAGCGAGGGGAGGAAGGTAGTTTCGGATGGGTGGTGGCAGGGATGGTTGGAAGGTAGTTAGGATGGTGTTGGGCAGGGAGGGTTGAAGTGAGTTTAGGATGATGTTGGGCAGGGAGAATTGAAGGGAGTTTAGGATGGTGGTGGGCAGGGAGGGTGGAAGGGAGTTTAGGATGGGTGTTGGCAGGAGGTGGAAGGGAGTTTAGGATGGTGTTGGGCAGGGAGGGTTGAAGGGAGTTTAGGATGGTGGTGGGCAGGGAGGATGAAGGGAGTTTAGGATGGTGTTGGGCAGAGAGGGTTGAGGGAGTTTAGGATGGTGTTGGGCAGGGAGGGTGGAAGGGAGTTTAGGATCGTGGTGGGCAGGGAGGAGGATGAGGGTTTTAGGATGGGTTGGTCAGGAAGGGTGGAATAGTGATTAGGATATAGTTGTGGTATTGTTTAGTTTTTCCTCTTGTGCTTATAGGCTAGGATTATGTTGTGGGAATTTGGTTTAAGTTTATGATGATGATAATCTTTTATCTGCGATGGAATCCAAAATAATTATGTAATGTTATTTGTTCTTTTATATATAAATGAATTATTAATTTTAAAGAAGTATTGATGATATATAAAGTAAAACATGTTATACCTACCAAAATTTGTGGTGAAAGTTGGAACCGGTTTGTAAAATCAGAGATACTAAGTGTTCCTTTAATGATACTACTAATAAAGTAAGTGCCTGTGTGCCTGTGAGATAAAAAAGCCAGTCCTTTTTGTCCTGCTTTGCTCTAAGGCTGACAGTGTAGGGATTGTCAGTGTGGGGTGATCAATGCTGCCCACCCTCTGAGTGGCACCATTGTTTGGCTGGACTTGACTCTGCCTTGGGACTCAGGAAGCTCTCGCTGGCTGAGCTCAGCTCTCTGGGCTTTTCCTGTTGTGGATTGCAAAGGCTGCTCTTTCCCTGAAAACAGCCCATGTTCTCTGGCTCCCCAGCCTTTGTGTGATGGAGCTGCGGTGGCCAGGCTGGGAGGTCTCATGGGGTCCTGCAGCAGCCAGAGCGTGCAGAATGCCAGGCGGGGAAGAAAGGTGATGACGGGCACCTACGGATGTGCTGCTGAGGTCAGGAATGCGAGTAGCTCCATGACAGAGGGGACGGTCGTGCAAGCTTGAGACAGGGAGCCAGCCTGGCTATGTGTTTGTGGAAAAGCTGAATGTGACCATTATTTGTTTGGGAGCATTATATTTAATAGAAATTTTTAGCACATATTTGAAGATAGTGTTTCAGAATAACCAACTTAACTGTTTTAGTGAATGTAGCTTTTTGGCGGAGGGTTCTTTGGAATTGTTTGTGTACCTTTTTATGGAAAACTTTTATATCTGCATACTATGCTTAGTGCTACGACCGAGGAAATGTCATTTAGTTTCATTCTGCGCATATCCATGAGTGATGGTTTCTAGTGGTTATTTTCTTCACCGTACACATAGGAAGATTTTTCTGTTTGAAAAAATAGGTGTATAGGTTTTCAAGCATCCGTTAAGCATTGTTGCTTAATAGGTATCGATATTTGTAATTAATAAACTAAATTATGTTTCTTCTCTTTGTTTTAACATTGCAAAAGAACTTTTCTTCTTACACATCTGTGACAGATTTTATTTTTATTTATTCTTTTTCTTTTAGTTCAGGGTCCCCTTATGCTTGGCTTTCTTCTCCCATTATTTTTGAATGATCGAGTTTGATTTAAAGCTTCTGAGGATGCAGTGGCTGGTGTCGCAGTGTGTCCTCTTTCCACTGGGCCTCTGACATTTGTGCTCAGCAAGTGTTTCTTAGAGGGAAGGCATTGTGATTGTGGGATCAGCATCCACATTTCCCCACACAGGAGCGAGCTCCCAGGGGCCCCTCCTCCCCGTGCTCGCCCCAGCAGTCAGGGCCCATGAACAGCCCCATTCAGGGAAGAGCTGGAGTTCAGTGTCCCTGGGGGAGGAGCCTCTGCTTTTTTTCCATCTGAAATAGTTTAGTATGTAAGTTATTTAATCAAGTTTGCAGATACTCATGAATAACTGTATTCTCTCAGAGTTTATAGTAAATAGCAGTGAACAGAGTAACGTCCATGTTGTGTTTATTAAGGCTCAAATTTAAATTCAACTTGATGACTTTTTTCTTAAGTGTTTAAATTTACATTTGGATTATCAAAAATCATGAGAAAACTGCATATGTTTAATATCTTTATTCCATACAGTTTCATTTGTATGATTAATTTGGAATATTTTGATAGCTTTGGAAGACAGTCAGTGTGTCTTAGTGCATGCAGCAGATGCACAGAAAACATACGTGATATGATTTTCTGCCTTAGAGCATATTGGCTTGGAACAGCGGGGAGTGAAAAGGAGCTGAGGGAAGGATCTCACTCCGTGGACTTATGTCAGGTGCGGTGGGGCCCTGGCTCCTGTCCTCAGCCTCATCCCCAGAGAAGGCTGTGTGAGGGGTGCCACAGCAGAAGGACCTAGGGCCACTCTGGCTGTGCTACTCACCAGATGTTTGATTTGGGCTCAGTTAACCTCTCTTAATGTTTTTGTGAGGATTGGAGATAGCATGTGCAAAGCACCTGTCTTGGTTACAAGAGTGTGCTGAGTATCCTGTCCTGGTAATTGGGTGCCCAGTGTACTAGAGTCCTTTTCATACCTCCACTTCACATCTGGGCTCTCACTGGAAACCCAGGTGCCTTATTGTCCTGCTCTTTGAGGTGCCTTTGCTGTCAGTGATTGCCAGTGGAAAGCATTCGTGTGTTATTCTAGATGTTTTGTACTTTATATTTATCTGTCAGTTTTTAGGACTTAACTAATTTTGGCTAAATTTGCTACATCATTACAGGGTATCAGGAAACATTTTATTTTAAGGTTAATTTATAATTATTTTGCTATCTTTAAAGTAGTGGTTATTTAATGATTGCTTTATAAACCCTTAATTTTTAATAAATATAATATGTAGGATGATCTGAGACTATCATATTCTTTAATGAAAGTCTTTAGTTCCCAGAAATTGATGTCAGCTTTTTAGATGCAATCTAAAGAATAAACTTTGTTTTTTCAGTAGAGATACACTTCACATATATTAAAATGCATTGATTTTAAAGGTACAGTTTAATGAACTTTAACAAATGTATAAATCATGTAACCAGTACCCAAATCAAAACACAGAACTTACCATTCCAGAAATGTATCTTCTGCCCCTTCCCCACTGCCCCCCCCACCCCTCCCACTTCTTCTCTTATTTCTGTCACCATAGATAAGCTTTGCCTGCTCTTGGACTTAGCATAAATGGAATTATGCAGGATATACTTTTGGGGAATGGCTTCTTTTGCACAGCCCAACATTGTAGAGCTTTATCCATGCTGTTGTGATTATCTGTGGTTTCTCCTTTTTGTCTGAATTGCTTTAGCTCAGACTTTCATCAGCAGTGAGCTAAAAAATAAATAAATGAAAATAAATGAATAGACTTGGCATTACTTATCTGGTAATGAAATTCATTCTAGCCTTGTTCTGAGTATACCTATGTCAGATGTGGTTGGCAGTAAAATAAAGTCAGTTGTGTGACCTTTGTAATAATACATGGATTTAGTAGTTAATAATCACAAGGAATGATGATATTAAACACATTAGTATTACATGGAAACAACGGTATAAATTGACAGTGGTGATGAACTTTCCAAAGTTTATAAATCTTAGTGTTCAATAACACTTGAAATGTCAAATAACACTTATTCATCATTTATTGTAGGTGCTACAGAATATTTTAGAAACAGAAAATGAATATTCTAAAGAACTTCAGACTGTGCTTTCAACCTATCTGCGGCCATTGCAGACCAGTGAGAAGTAAGTTAGACGATAAATTACGTTAATTGTAAAATGGTCTTCACTTTAGGCTGTTCTCTTGTATTTTCAGAAAATAGAGGGTGAAATATGAAACAGAGTCAGTGTACCAGTTTAAGCAGATTTGTTTACTAGATTAAGACTTCAATGGTGTTGGATGGCAGAGGAGAATATAAGTAAAACTGTTTGCATATTTTTACTGTTATTTTTCTTGGCTCTAGGTTAAGTTCGGCAAACACTTCATATTTAATGGGAAATCTAGAAGAAATATGTTCTTTCCAGCAAATGCTCGTACAGTCCTTAGAAGAATGCACCAAGTAAGTAAGATGCTAAAACTTGGCAACACTGGGGTCGGTGTAATCGGTATTTAAAGGATCAAGTTTACCATAATTTTAGAATTCACATTTCTAAAGATGAAAACTAGGTTATTTTAAATCTTTCAGGTAGATCAGCTTTTATAGTAATAGCTGTATTTTAGACTGTCTAGTTTTTATAGCAGGAACCTTCAGGAAAAGGGTAGAGACTTCACAGGTGATTTTTAAGGCATTACATGGAGGAAGAGTAGGGATGAAGAGCCTCTACAAGAGAAAGGAGAGGCGCTTTGCAGAGTGTGGCGGTGCCATGTGTCTCAGCTCCTCATGTGCCCTGTGTGCTTCAGAGGGATGCCTTCGAGGAACTGAGGAAATGAAGAACTGCTTCTTGAAAAATAACGTGCTATGCTGATGTCTTAGGTTTTGTCACTTTTCCAGCATTTTCTTTTGCAGGGATGGAGGCATGTTCCCCATGATCAGCTGTGGATTTTTTCTGTGTGACTATTTTATATTCTTTATTTACATCAGACATTAAAGGACACTTACCAAGTGCCTGCTAGGTGTTGGGTGACTTAAAACAGCAATGCACGTGAAAAGTTTTAGGTTTTAGTCCACCAGGTGATATTTGATATATTTTTACTTGTGGATTTAATAAAGGAAGGTGACACATTTTATTTTTAAATTTTCTTTGATTCTTATTTTTATAACCACCAGAAGGACCAGAACACTTTTTCACTTAAATTTTGGTTGGTCTCCGGTTTCCGCTCCAGCCATGTCTTTTAAAATCTTGACAGTGGTGAGGGAGTAGCCTGCCTTTTGTTCCACTAGTTCTTTAAATTGGTGACAGTTTGCCATGATGAAAATAGGCTTGTTCCCTTAGCTCTCTGGCTAGGCTTCAAGGTTTTGTCAAGTACTTCATAATGGATGATATGGCAAGGAAAGCTGAATGTTAGAGAAACTAAATACTGGGTTTCAAAGAGAAATTCATATTCTTTCTTCTTTTGCAGCATTTTTATTTTGCATAAAGTAGATTGCTTACATTGCCATGAAAGAGTAGTTTGGGAATCACTTTGCTTTTAGTGATGAAGGTCATTTGCAGATAATTGGCATCTTTGCAAGGGACCGTATTGTGCACAAAACGTGGGAGTAAATGTTTTCCTATGTTTTTCTCACTAGCCGTGGATAATGCAGTCTAAATAAAGTAATATAGGATGCTTAATCACTTCGGGACCAGCGTCAACTGTAGTCGACAGCCACAGATGAATGTGCATGTTGACTTTAGCTGACAGCTGTGATATGACTTTTCTAATTTTTCATTTATCAAAATAAAATTGTGAACATTTAAACATAATGTAATGAAAACATATATGTACATGTTACCTATTCTGATTTACATTACAAGTAAAGCTGCCTGCAAAATAAAACAAGCTTTCAGTGCTTTAAAGCTTTCCTCATCACACAAGAGCAAAATGGATTCGTCGTCAATGCACAGCACAAACTATTGTGCAGACTATGAGTGCCGGCTGTGGGCGAGGTTTCGCAGCCAGTGAGGATGATCCCGAAGTGGTTAAAAAGTACATTTTGCAGTACCACTGCTGTGCACTATAGCAGCACTGAGAATTGTTTTACTTACTTTACTGATTAAAAAAATTGAATTATAGGGTGGTAAAGTATTAATAGTAGGCTTGATGTCAGACATCTAATAAGGCTTCAGTCCGTATGTTATCTCTGAATTTGGGATGGCTTGTATATTATTTTGATCAGGTTCCTCAAATTCATGTCACATGCATACCAGGTGTTGGAGTTCTGTGGTGAAATGGAACGTATGAGACTAGCTTTCCTTATCAACTGTTTCCCTTCTCTTTCTTACCATGAATATTCTGAAAGTTTTTATCTTTCCATTTTTGGGACTGTTAATTTCATCTCTTTGTTATGTACCACTTTATGGCTACCCAGATGCCACATATATATAGCAGTTTCGTGTTCATTTCCTTTGGTTGCCTTGTTTATGCTGCAGATTCAATTCCTAGATTTCCAGTAGCACCTTCCAAAGCTGCCTGTTGGCAAACTATGGCCTATGGGTCACATCCGTCCTGTGGGCTGTTTGTGTAAATGGTTTTCCTAGAATGTGCCATTGTTCGTGTGCTGTTGATGGCTGTGTTCATACTGCAGCAGCAGTAGCAGCAGCAGCATTGTAGTTGTGATAGAAACTGTCTGGCTCACATGCCCAGAATAATTTACTACTTGGCCTTTTATAGATGGTCTGCTGACTCTCAGGTAAGCCGTGCTTTCTCTCCCTTGGGACCCCGACCCAGCCGGAACCTCTCCATCACTCCCCAGCTTTTTGTGTTGGGAAGTCTCCTTCTCCTGTGTGTGGGCCACATTTACATTTTCTTAGTAGTTAACACATTCAGTGCCTTTCTTCCTTCCTGAAAACTCAAGTTTCTATCTGGCATCGTTTTCCTTCAGGCTGGGGAACTCTTCAGATTTTTAAAAATAATTCAGGTGTGTGGATAAATTTTCTCAGATTTTGTTTATCTGAAAATGTCTTTATCTCGCCCTCATTCCTGATGTTTTTTTTTTTTTTGCTGAGTACTGAATTCTGTATGAATTTGCTTCAGCACTCAAAGGATTTTGCTCCCTGTCTGTGGTCTTTGCCGTATCCAGCAGTCAGTCTAATGATGGCCTTCATTATGTTCTGATCGGCACGGTTTCCATAGCTATTCACCTGACTACTTTCTAGATTTTGCGTTGAATTTTGGTTTTTAAGGGCATTTTGACAATGATTATCCTGAGTGTGGTTTTCTGACTTCTTGAACCTATAAATTTGTGTGTTTAATTTGGGAAATTTTTGGTCATTACTTCTTCAGATATTTTTCTGTTTTACTTTTTCTACTCTCGTTCTGGGACTTCAGTTACATGTACTTAGATCTTTTGATGTAGTCCCACCATTCTTTGGGCTCTGTTCTTTTTTTTTTCCCGTTCTATTTCTCCTTCCTTTTCTTCAGATTGATTGATATCTGCTGCTTTGTCTACAAGTTCCCTGCCTGCCTCTTTCCTCTGTCATCCCCATGCAGTGATTTTTTTAATTTGAGAAATTGTTTTTTTTTCCAATTTTAGAATTTCTATTTCTTGTTATACTTTGATTTTCTGCTAAAATTTTGTATTTGTTCATTCACTGTAAGCTCATGAAATTTAAAGGGTTTTAGGTTTTCACTCATGAAATTTAAAGGGTTTTAGGAGCTCTGTGCCAGGAACCAGGGACAAAGACCCCATATGTTTAATGTGCTCCCTCAGGAGGGCCCCAGCTGGGCATCTGCTGTGGCTGGGCCCTGCGAGCAGGGAGCAGTCTGTGCCCAGAGGACAGGCCAGACCCTGTCTTGGGACCTTCTGTAAGAGTGGTTGGAAGCCACTGGGGATGGACTTTAAGCTTGGCGGTGGCATAATCCAGACATCCCAACTGTTTTGGCAGCAGGGACTGGTTTCATGGAAGACAATTTTTCCACAGACCAGGTGGTGGGGGAGTGGTTTCAGGATGATCGAAGCACATTATGTTTGTTGTGTAGTCAGACCTCTGCTAATGATAATCTGTGTTTGCAGCTTCTCCCCGGCGCTAGCATCATCTCCACTACTCCACCTCAGATCATCAGGCATTAGATTCTCATGAGAAACATACAACCTAGATCCCCTGAATATGCAAATCATAGCAAGATTTGAGCTCCTATGAGAATCTAATGCCATTGCTGATGAGACAGGAAGTGGACCTTGTGTGGTGATGTGAGCCATGGGGAGCAGCTGTAAGTACAGATGGCTTAAAGAGTCTTTGAACTGGTTTGAAAATGTGGAACTGTGGCTTATAAAATTGCTTCTATGGGAAAATGAATTCTGGGAATCTAATGCTATCTTCAAAACAAGTTTTTCAAATAAAACTCATTTGGTGATTTGCTTGCATTTTATGATAGCAGATTAAATTCCGTTGAAAATAGAACCTAAGAAGTTCTCTTTTGGAATATCCTTGTTATTGTACTGAATTCTATTTTTATTTATTTATTTTGATAATGACTCAGTACTCTTCTAATACCCAATAACTCTCTGGCTCTTTGTTAAGTACAGATTCCAGAGTGTAAGCTGGTGGGCAGTGGGTGCCAGGATTTGCTGTATCCCTCTCTCAGATGGGCAGCTCTTGAAGCAGCTGGGGCACCTGGATCACTGTACTCCCCTAGGTCCAGCACTATGCCGGGACTCGTACACCGAGTTTTTCACGTATGCAACGATTACTTGGGGAAGCTGTGACTCCCTTTACCATCCATTCTGGGTCTTTCCTTCCCATCCTCCCTCCCTCCCTCTCTCCTATTTTCCTATTCTTCCCCTCCCTCCCTTCCTCCCTTTCTCTGCCCCTTTCTTTCTCTTCTCTTTTCCTCTCTCTTTGCCTCCTTCCCCTCCCTCTTTCTTCCTTTCTCACTCCCTACTCCCTCCCTGCCTCCCTTTCCAGGCCAACACCACCTTCCATCCCCCCTCCCCTCCTCCTCCTCCTCCTCTTCCTCTTCTTCCTCCTGTTCCTCCTCTGGATGTGCTTCACACTGCTTTGGCTCCTGTTGGCTTTGGTGACATTCAGGGCCAACAGCAGCCACTCACAACCCAGTTTTGATTAAAACATCTCATAGCACAGGTTCCTTGCTTTTGCTTCATGTCATAGCATGACATATGGGGCACCTTTTCATCCTGAAGTTTCACATAGGACTATGATGGTTCTCCCACGGAAGAGAGCACACTCTCTGGCTGTCTGGAGTACAACATACGGAGCCACCACCTGTGGAACCATAGGGGACATACGCTTTTTGTAGCAAAGGTTGCTCCATGAAGGTGCTGGTTCATGGGTGTTGTTAGATTAGAGGGCAAGACTGTGTCTTATTCTTTATGTCTCCAGGCATTTAGTTATATCATTCTAATATGTTGTGAATTTTCAATAAATAGATATTGAAAATAGTAGATCAGAGAAAAAAAAT